ACTTTGACGACAACCTCTGAACAGTAATAGCTGACAGCATATTGTAAAATATAAAAAAATTTGTCTTTGAAATTGTTTGATGTTAACATTGTAAACTGCACAGTTTGCATGGAATTGAGTAAATACTTTCAGTTCTGTTCTTCTTTTTTTCGTAGTTGCAACAAGCACCAATTTTGTGCCTTAAACAGTTGAATGGTAAAACCATTGAAAAAGTTATTATTTTGGAAAAAAAAGTTTAATACACATTTCTTTTTTATTATCAAACTATTTGTTAAACTGGCTTTTGGCTGTTGAATATCTGTGTTTTGCACTCATTCAAACTATGAATTTAATAGCAGTTCATCTATAAAAGTGGAAGAATTTAACGTTTTAGTGCTTAGCCGTCTATTACCCTTCAACTAATACGGCATTTATCATGACGTTTAATGGTGCAAAATTGATTCTAGTAATGACAGTGACAAAGAAAAAGCAACTTTTCTCTTCTATCATTCATCTATTATTTAATATACAAAAAAACATATACCGTTCTTTCCCGGAATGTTTACTGACAGCTGGCAATATCAACTATTCAAAATTATTATCTTATTCTAACGTTTTTCATTTAACGTTTACGGCTTTCTAAAGATCAGTAACTTCATAAATTTTTTTAGTTTTTCTTGTTATTTAGTGATAATTTTGGCTATATTAGAAACTCAAAGTTACATAGAGTTTAAAAATAAGTTTTAATCTGTTGTCAGGATGAGGTAAAACGCCAATTTATTATTCTAGTGATTTTCTTTCCAAGTTTACGATAACATTAAAAAAAATTACTTTTTTTTCTTTTCCAAAATTTTTCTTCTCCTTTTTTTTTATCGTTTTGCACCCTCAAACAAGCATTTATTATTTTATTTACTACAATACAAAAATTCTACATTTTTTTTTGGTTTACAATTTTTGAACAAAAAGAATTTACCTAAACAGTAAAATAGCGAAAAAGAAGAAGGTAAATACGAAGTGTCTTTGTAGAATGCAAACAGTTTAGGTACATCTGATTCCAACAATAACTGCTACTATAACAACGAATTACTGACCAGTTTCAAATAAAATTATGAACAAATAATTTTTTATCGATGCATTTATTAGTCAACATTTGCAAGAACTTTAAAGAGTTTTTGAAGAATACTTCTGAGCAAACATTACCACCAGATAAGTACTTTGTATCACTGTTTTGGATAACTTTATACAGGCTTTTCAACTAGTATTTAAGAAGTATAAAGCCAACATTCTCTGTAACAGACTACAAAACTGATTTTATTATTTTTTCAAATCAAAAATGAATAATGGAATATTTTAGTCGGCAATGAAGAAAATTTGAAAAGCATACAGTGGTAAAACATATTCAGCAAATAGAGTATTTTAATAGCCCAAATTACACAATCAACAATAGTTTACGAAAAGAAGGAAATACAGAAGTTTAAGAAACAATAGAAATAACAGGCAACTAAGCCGATAAATTAACGATTACTGGAACCATAATGATCAGTTATACTTAGAAGTAAAACAACTGTTCTTTTTGAACTTCGCTTACTGATTAACGTAGACACAAGGTTTTAGAACCAGACAGTATCCTAAGATTTTTGCGTCAAATTTAGAAGCAATATTTATCGTTTAAATCTGAAGTAGCTTTTTCTGTTTTTATTGTGGCTTTTAGAAGTGTTACTAGTAACAGTTAACAAAATACCCGAATCTAAACGATTATGAAATTTGATGTACGAATTAATCGACACTTTCTGTAAATACACAAAAGGTTGTAACATATGAAAAGATCACTGATATGTATGTGAAAAAAGTACGTCTTTTTTTTTTTCAGTTCAAACGTTTTAAAATATGCTAATTTTATAACGCACAATTTCGTTAAAAAAGATAGCATCTGCTAATGTTGGTGTCATTCACAGTAAAATAGTAAAAGAGAAAATTTAAAAAACAGAAAGTTTAAACAAAATATTAAGTGATAGAAATTCTTGATCAATTGAATAAACTTTTTTTGATTTATAGATTTAGTAACGATTTATTAACTTTAATTATCGCTATGAAAGCCTTATAACACTTATTTTTACCTCTCAAATACATTTTTTTTTGCAGTTTACGTACAAAAAGTGTTTATTTTAAATTCTAACCACAATAATAAATTTAAAAAAAAAACCCACTGCGTCTTTTAGTAACTGACATTTGGTCGTTCTGTAAAATTTGCTAATCTGTATACAAGTCATAGCATTTAAGCTTCCTGCATTCAAAAAGGTGTCCAAAAAGGAATGGTCTGTGATGCACTGGCGAGAAGTGTGCTATATGCTTTTCCTTTTTACGTCTAAATTTGTTTTTTTAATTTTTCTTTTTATTTAGAATGCAAAAATGAAATTTTTTTCTATTGATTGGAAAGAAGAAGCAGTGTTGTTGCAGCAAGCTGAGAAATCATTGAATTAGAAAATCCTTTGTAAAATGAACGAAGTTTAGACATCCGTGATTTGCGAAACTAGCAAACAAAAATAAGCATCGTTTGAATAGACCGTCTAACTTTGATAATCAGAAGTTCAGAAATGTTTGTTAGAGTCGATCTAGAAACAACTGGTCGTAACACTACTTTAAAAACTGGAGGTGCACGTCAGACAGTCAGTTAACATTTGCATGCAGCTGGAAAGCAGGAAGCTTACAATAGTAAAAACCTCATGATTTTTTTTTTTTTTGGTTTACGGTAGACGATGCTTGACTTCAAGGGTCTTCTCCAGTGTTTCAGAACTAACTTGTTCTTCCCTCGACCGTTTTCTGTAGCACAGAATAAGTTCTAGTCAAAAACGGGAAAGTAATAGACATTGGGTTGCGATTAAGTAGTTTTAATTGAACGAAGAATTAAACCTGCATCAATCTAAAGTAAGCGCAGTCTGATTAAAAAGTTTTGAAGTAATTCACACATACTATCTGATTGCGGGCAAATTGGTTACTTGCAAAAGCGTGCTGCTTAAAATTTGAGAAAATAAATAAAAGTTTGAAGAAACTGGTTTTTTTTCCTTGCAGAAAACACAAGTATTGGTACTGCACAATAATGACAAACTGCAGATTCAAACACAATAAAAAAAAATTGAGAAGTTCAAAAATGAAGTTTTGCTGTCATCTATCAACGTGTTCAGAAATCCCTCTGAATCAGAGATCCTTATTCAGACTTTTAACTTACTTATTTTTTAAAAAAAATTTTTGTAACTCAGAGCACATAGAAATCGTTCGTGGAAATTTTTTTGACTTTTAATTCGCAGTAGCTTTCAAGATGGTAAAGTGCTAAAGCATATACAACTTTAATGTCTTTGTGCCGGCTCTACAGTAATTTCACTTTTTTTAAATAATATTAGACGAGAGTAAAGTTACAATCTTGAAAGACAAAAAATGGCAGATGTTTATAAAATTAGACTGAGATATAAATAAATTTTGTAAAAAATACTACTGTGCAGTTGTGCAGTAAATCTCTTAGTTACCACTAATGTTGCAAGAATATGATTTGTAGAGGAAGAATTATTGTAACTGTTTTAGGATAAATTTCCCTATATGACTGTTGTTGTTCACAGTGCGTATTTTTGAACGACAGAGTTTTCAGCATTAACTTTATTAAGGAACTGTGAAATGATCTCAGGGTAATAAATCTAAAAGACAAATACAGTGAAATTTATCAATCTACGAACCGCAGTTTTGATAAATGACTGAGTACAGCAGTCTGATAGATAGCTTATATATTCGATGTTGGCAAATAATTATTAAATTTGTAAAATGCTTAAACTGTAATTTTTAATAACTGTTTACAATGCTGATATGCACCTATGACCGGTTGCATATAATATTTCTACTATTAAACTCTAAACAGCCTTATTTCTATGTCTTTCACTTATTTTCAGATAGGCAAAGGTTATCAAGACACTTATTAGCAGTAGTGAAAAATACTGTAGCAATACTGCTGTTGATCACACTACGATTTTCAATGTAATACTAAGATTGAATGAATTTGCAAGTGTAAACTTCAATTTTTATAATTGCAAAGAACCAAATAAACAGGGCAGTTTCAACTTTATTATTAATAGTTTAACATCTAAGACTGTGTTCTAAAGTGGGCTTTTATTACAGCCTTTTTACTGTTACTTTTAGATCAGTTACTTTTCAAAAAAACGACCAGTTGGAAACTTCACTTTATTTGTATTTATTTAAATTAACTTTATATAGCTTTTATTACTTTCAGATGCAACTTTGATCGCAGTCAACTTTTTGCAAAATAAATGTTTTTAAAAAAGTCTGACAAAATTTTTTTGTTTTTTTCATCTATCAATTTCATGTAAAAATTAAAATTAATATTTAAAAATATAGCTACAAATTGTTTTTGATACATCAAATTAAAGCAAATTTTCAAGTGACAAATAACTGCTCTTTTGTCTCAAAGTTTTCTATAATGATTTGTCATATTGATTTGTCTAAAGCAATAAATTGTAATATCTTTCGCTATTACAGTTTTTTGTTTTATTTAAGATCAGTTTTTGCAGCTGCTTAGAGATGAAAATTTTTAAGCACACAACTATTTATAGCATTTGTCATGAAGGTTTGGGACAACGCTTGAGGATTGACTGACAACGATAGTTCATGAGCGGTTAACAGACAGATTTGATCTCAGCTCCAAAATAATAACGACTGCCATCAAAAAATTTCAACAACTGACAATCTGGCAGATGTATTTTACTGGATGAATAGATTACCAAATAATTGTCAAATTTGTAAACTGTTTATATTCAGATTGATTTAAACTAATAATTTAACTTATCTGCTAGACTAACAGTAACAAATATACGCTAACAATAAACCATTATTTATCATTTTTTTGTCAGACGTATAAACTGTTACATCTTTTTTCTATTTCTTAATCTTATTGCTTTGAAACATCTGGTTTATAGGTCATCGCCTACCAAAACTGACAAACTTAAAGTTGACAAAAACTGCTTTTTTTAAAACAGTTTATTCTACAGCTTAAAAGACAATTATTTAGCATGATCTAAAAACAGATTTACCAGATGACTTCGGTGATAAAAAATTGACAAAACCTGATAATTTAGTATGTCTTATAAAACATCAAGAACTTAGTGATGCAAGTGAAATTAAAAACTGACGTTTTAAAAACTGCACAAATAATGAGTGACGATAACT